GTAGTTTGAATAAGATGAAAAAGTATTTGACTGCACTTACCAGTAAACTTTATGTGCAGCCTTGTTTCAAAGCCTGATATTCATCAAGAAAACACAAGAGAATTGTTACAAGTAATTGACTAACCTTTCTTTTGACGTGTCCTTCTTGTAGATGCAGTTTTCTGTTTACGGTTGCAGCGTCAGTTCACGTCCAGCTGTCAGTGTGGACAGTAAAGAAGCGTGGCAGCAGAGGTCCAGTTACTACATGCTTAGACATGCTCAGGAACCACAAAGCCTTTTTGTCAACCGGTCACAACTCATTATTATCAAGCTCAGATTTCTGGGGGTCAAGCTGATTTTAGCTGCTTGCAGCAGCAGCAGCAGCAGCAGCAACAGCAGCAGCAGCAGCATTTCAAAGCAAAGGGCTTTATTCGACTGTTACAAAGTAAAGCTATAAAATGTTCACGTGCACTTTTGTTTTTGTATTCATAGTAGCCAACTTTCAGAAGGAACACTAGATACTTTTGCCCAAGTCTGTGTGTGTGCTCATGTTTCTGTCTGTCTGTTACCAAAATATTAATTAGATGAGTTTTTACCAATCACGTCTTGGAGTCAGCCTGATTTAAGATGGCTGCCATAGTCAAATAACCTTAAAACATAAAAATAACTAAAACTCAGTGAATCTGAGCTAAAGCTTGCTGGTAGCAGCTGATCAGCCCCAGCACATATTCTGAGAACTAGGAGATTGCACAAGACATTTAATTTCCATTCAACTTTTGAAGCCATTTTTGTCTGTTAGCAGAATATCTCATGAGCCACTTGCAGATTTGAATAAACATAAATAATTGAATAAAAACTGATTACATTTTGGAGCCAGACTGACTGATAGATAACACACAACTGGCTATAACTCAGTCAAAGTGAACTGATATTATGTCACCATCTGCTGTCTTTTTGTGTTTAGTGATTCAGTGTTCTGTATATTTTGCGACACCTTCAGCTTTTTTACTTTGATTCTTCTTATTAAATCCTCTTCTTACATTTGAGTCCTTGTGAAATCTGCACATTTGTGTCCTGTCAACAACAATACTGACATTTGAGCAAAAATATATCAGAAAAACTGGATGTGTTTTTATACAACGTTCAGAAAGTAACCACTGGATATACATCTGCAGCTGCTTAATATTTGGAGTTATTGCAGTACAAGCAAAACATGTTCAACAGCTCATAGACAACAGCTAACGTGATGATGGTTGTAACTCAAGCAGTTTTACAGAAACTGACATGAACTCTGGTGTGACTGTAGCTGAAAGTCATTCACATGTGCATCTAAAAGAAATTAGAATATCGTGAAAAAGTTATATATTTTTTTTGTCACTCATTTAAGAAAGTTAAACTCATTTATTACATAGATTCAATACACATATAGCGAAATATTACAAGCTTTTATTTCTTGTAATTTTGATGATTATGGCTTACAACTAATAAAAACTAAATTCAGAGTCAGAAAATTAGGTGCACGTGTATTCTGAGCATGACATCTTGCAAAATAGTTATCCACAAAGTTTGACTAAAACTGCTACAATCATGCGTTCCTCCAGTGAAGGCTAACTCTTTGAATGTGGCCGTTTACTGTCCTCGTTCACTCAAGCAGACATGATGTTCTGTACGTTTGTGGCAGATTGAGCTGTTTTATATGTTTCACTAATAAATCTGTAATCCTGAACGCCTTACAGTCCCAGTAACGTGGCGTTGTGAGTTTGATGGTTGCACGTGAACTCTGGGATGTCTGCAATTTGCATGCAAGGCTGGTTCCACTGCAGAGGAGAGGGGAGGCCTGATGCTCTGATTGGTGCAGGAGTTGCTAGACAACAGATGTCCAGCGAGGAGATGTGCTACCTGTGGAGGAAGGAGGCAGAGTGAAAGGAAAAAGGAGGTGGAAAATGCTGCTGGAGGAGGAGGGTGCCTGTCACGTGACAAACAATTGCAGCAAGAAACAGAACATGACCTCTGGCGTGGGTTTGAGTGAATTCCATTCCAAAGATTAAAAAAAGAAAGTGTCAAATTTACTTATTAGTTTTTTGCTGTTTTCTACAGGGAGCTTAAATGCTGTAATAAGTTAATAAAGCATCAGTCGGATATGATTTATTTAAAAAAAATATATATATATGATTTGTGTTTGTTTCCCCAGAGGTTGATTAACCAGAGACAAAAATATAAAAAGAGTCAAAAATTAAACGTCAGATTATTTGACAAACTTGTTCATTGAGTAAATGGAACGAGTGTTTTAAAGTATCAGATTAAAATCAGAGTTTGGATTGTTGGACTGAGTGACACTACGGCGTAAAGTACCACAAAGCTGCACGGTGACACCCAAACAGCGCTCGGTGACCTCGCTCAGAGGGTCCTGCTAATAATCCACGAGCCGCCCTTGTTTCAGGGGCCGCCTGAGCCTCTGCGCTCGTCTCCACGGCTGACAGTGGGGCCCAGCAAAACTGACTGGTTTCCAAGGCAAACTCACAAACACTATATCTATAGGCTTTATGGGTAGGAGTGTGCCACTTTCCTAATACATACATCATGCACTTTTTTTCTGAAGCGTTCCTGGGGTTTTAATGTAATGCTTGTGATATATCCATCCATTCATTATATTTACCCGTTTATTCCATTTTGGGTCACGGGGGTCGCTGGTGCCCATGTCCAGCAATCACTGTGCGAGGGGCGGGGTACACCCTGGACGGGTCGCAAGTCCATCACAGGGCCACATAGAGACAAACGAGACAAACAACCATTCACTCTCTCACTCACACCTAGGGACAATTTAGAGTTACCAATCAGCCTAACATGCATGTTTTTGGTCTGTGGGAGGAAACCGGAGCACCCGGAGAAAACCCACGCATGCACGGAGAGAACATGTAAACTCCACCCAGAGAGGCCCCTGGACCGGGGTGTGAACCAAGGACCTGCTCGCTGAGAGGCAGCAGCTCTACCAGTTGCGCCACCGTGCTGCCCACTTGTGATATAGTTTGATCAAAATACAAAAATAAAAATCTATTTAGTTCCAGAAATACAAAGTAGTTTCTCCTTCCTCTGCTCTTTGGTCATAGATGTGGGAGCAATGCTGTTTAATGCAGTTTAATCAGTCAGAACGAGGTCAACATCTCTCTGTCATATATTGGTTTTATACAACCTGGAAGTTTAGGTTCTTGCCAAAAACTCATATCTATGTGGACTAATAACGAATAAAAACACTTATTATGGTTTTCTCTCTGTTCACTGTGGTGGTTCAAAAACAGCATCACTCAGATCACAAGAGACAAACTGGTGACACTGCAGAGAAAACTTTCTGGTGTTGTTGGTTTTTGTTTTGTTTGCCAGAACCCACCATTTCCAAAATATGTATGTAGGCAGGAGGAGACCAGCCCCAGAGTGAAAAACAAGGAGATGGTCAGATTTATTGATGGGGCAGCTGCAGCTCATGCTCTGACGTGTGACTAAAGTGGTTCAACTCCAAATGGCGTCACTCGTTGTGACGACTGCTGTCACCAATCTGAGTCTCGGTTCTGACCCAGAACAACTGAGTCAGAGTCTTTGGAGTTTAGCTTTTTACCCTGACAGACAGATTAATGTCACGTCGCGCTCATGAAGTCTCTCCCTGAGGATGCCATGCTTCCTGTTTGGGATTCTGCTGCAGTGAAGCTGACTGACCCTCTTTTTAGTTTTTGAACTTTAGTGTTTTTTTGCTCACAGGCGAGCAAGTTATCCATCACTGTGATGTTTTGGTTTTATTTTCAGCACAAAATTATTATTATTATTAATTATTTTTTAACAATTTTCAGTATTTAGACCCAACATTTGTCTTTAAAATGATGCTGACCAGTTCATTCAGCTTTATTCTGGCTGAAATAGACAAAAAATAATTAAACCATTACAGCTTTACTTAGTGAAAATTGTATGAAGTGTTCAATATAAATAAAATGCTAAATAAAAATAACGAATAAATAACAATATATACTTTGATAGCTAATAATTTTTTTTACCAAGTCTGAATCAAATTAATTTGAACTCCTCAAACATAGTTTAGCTTTTGCTGATTTGTTTTAATTCACCGACAAATTAGAAAATAAACTGACTTATTCCACAAGTAATTATAAATGAGTTTAACAAACATTTAGCAAAATGAAAAAGTTGAATCAGACCTAAAACTTGACTCAGCTTGTATGTGTTACTTCAAAACAATATAAATGCCTAATTCTGAAAGGAAACAATAAAACTGTGGAGAAAAATGTTAAATGTTATTTCAGGTTTTTTATTTCACGCAACAAGTAACTTTTTGAAGTGTTTGAATTACATTTCAAAATAAGCCATTTAACTTCTCACATCCATACTCAGACAAGATGGACAAACTGTCCAAAGAGCAGACTTTAAAAAAATATTTTTTTTTTTGGGGGGGGGGGGGGGGTGTTACAGTATAAGCCAGTCTATTTCATACAAACCCAACATCACTTTGATCCACCACTACTTTGATGAAGCCTTTCGTTTCCTCACCTCTCTCTTTATCTCTTGATCTCCACTGTTAAACTTAGAGTATTTGCAAAGTTGTGCAGATGATTTGAGAACAGCAAACTTGATCCCGGTGCACATTTTCATAGCTGATGTTAAGTTTGTCAGTAAAAGGTTAAATTGACACCCCCCCCCCCCCCCCCCCGTGCCTCTTCGTTGTGTTGTTGTTGTGTCCTGCCTGCTTGTGACAGAACCAAGTCCATATCAGGCCACATTATTTCTGTCAAGTGCTTCGGTTCTGATAAAGACAAGAAGAGGCTGACTCGAAGCCAGCACACACCGACAGACCCAACACAAACACACTGACAGTGACAGTAACACGAAAACACAACGTGACCTCCATCGAGGCCAAACCAAGCTGCTGCCAACTTCATGTCAGAGGATTTAAATCAGCGCACGGGGAGCCATAACGAATCGTAATGTCCCCGTCTCTCTCTTCTCTGTGTTTTCTTCTTCAGATCATCAAAAACTGGAGAGAGAGGCGAGGATCTGTCGTCTATTAAAGCACCCCAACATCGGTGAGCTGAATGTCCTCGACCCCCCCCCCCCAATACACACACACACACGCCTTTCCAGTTCTGCTGAGATTTCTGCGATAACTATTTAGTATCTTTCAGGCACAGTTAGGCTACATCTAAGAAAAAGCGCAAGCAAGTTTATGTGTGTTAGTCTGTATGTGTGTGTGTGTGTGTGTGTTTAAATGATGAGGTACCTGCCTTCTTCTAGCTGAGTCATCAGAAAGACACAGAAGTCCTCTCTGTTAACCACTGACCCTTAATACAGTTCTTCTTTTGCTTTCTTACTTCTCCACGGAATCGTTGGTTTTGTTTCTTCATGTCTCTGTTTTTAGTCTTTCAAATCAAGGCAGGGACACACTGAACAGGTCTCCAGTCCATTGCAGGGACACATGGAGACAAATGAGACAAACAACCATTCGCTCTCTCACTCACACCTAGAGACAATTTAGAGTTACCAATCAGCCTAACATGCATGTTTTTGGTCTTTGGGAGGAAACTGGAGTACCCAGAGAAAACCCACATGCACGGAGAGAACATGCAAACTCCACCCAGAAAGGCCCCCCCTGGCTCCAGTATTGCACCTGGTGGTGGATAAAATGTTTTTCCTCCACCCATCAGGATCCGTCACTCTGGGCTGCCTCAGATGAGCCACAAAAATAAAAACTACCTCTATTCAAAAACTACAAACATTCACTATTCAAATCCCTCAGCAATGGGATGTTTTTTTTCTGTTTCAAAAGCCAACTTCTTAGTGCAACGTCATCATCTTTGTAAGTGATTGACTTCAGGGTGAAAACATGGCTGCAGCCAAACACTCGCATGGTTTACAAGTTTATGTTTTCTTTTGTAAGTCTATTTGTTACACTTAATTGTGAATTTTATGTGAGGAAAAAAACAATTTTAGTGATCATGCTTTTGACCTAATCATAGTTATAGTTCACATTTAAAATGACAACTTTCCACAACATGGTTGTTGCTCTGTTTGAAGGTCGTCCTACAAATATTCACACTGAGCAGTGAAACTGTGGTTTATCTGGACAGTTTTGTTCCGTTGTGTTTGATTTCTTTGTTTTCTGATCTGTTTGTGTGAAATCTCTTACAGTAAGACTCCATGACAGCATATCAGAGGAAGGTTTCCACTACTTGGTGTTTGATCTGTGAGTAATGGACCCCCTCCACCACGCTCACATTCCACAGTTCCTGCTGTATTAATGAGTGCAAAGCAATCTTTAGAGATGCTTTCATTTATTTTTAAACATAATTAAACAAAAATAATTTCTTCACCAATTAAAACTCTCTTTGGGCTTTGATTAAACCCATAAAAGGTCACAGTCAAGGTCAAGGTTTCTTTATTGTCATTTGCATCTCTTGTGGTACATGTGGTGGAACGACATTGTGTACACATGGTCCCAGTTACATCCAACAAAAGTATAAATTGTAAAAGAAAAACAGTAATAAGATCTAAGATATGAACTAAGAAATACACTAAATTAAAAATATACTAAACACTTAATAGTGCAAAAACAATACGCCGAACAACAGCAGCACGAACATGAGTCTGTGTGAGTAGATGAGTACGAATGAATATGAATAAATACAGCAGCATGAAATAAATTAGCAGCATGAAATCAGCAGCATGATAATCAGCAGCACATATCAACAATCAAGTGGCATTACAGTGATTTGTTTTTTCACAGTGATTATTAGAGATTCATGAGCCTAACAGCCTCAGGGTAGAAGCTGTTCCTCAGTCTAGTGGTTCTACACTTAATGCTCCTCAACCTCCTTCCTAAGGGGAGCAGGGCAACAAGTGTGTGTGCTGGGTGAGTGGGGTCCTTCATGATGCAGGTGGCTCTCTTCCTGCATCTGGAGGTGTAGATGTCTGTGATGGTGTGGAGACTGACTCAAACAGTCTTCTGTGCAGCCTTCACCACTCTCTGCAAAGCTTTTCTTTCTGCAGCTGTGCAGCCTCCATGCCACACGTTGATGTTGGAGCATAGGATGCTCTCCACTGCACACCTGTAGAAGGAGGTGAGGACTGAGCTTCCCAGACCAGTTCTTCTCAGCTGCCTGAGGAAGTAGAGTCTCTGATGAGCTTTCTTGATCAGGCTGATGGTGTTGTTGCCACAGCTGAGGTTGTCATTCAGGTGCACACCCAAGTACTTGTAGCTGGAGACCACTTCCACCGCAGATCCTCCTATATTCAGGGGGGATAGGTGTGCTTGTTCCATCTGAAGTTCATAACCATCTTCCTCACATTGATGTGAAGGTTGTTCTCTTTGCACCAGCTCTCCAGGTGTTCCACCTCCTGCCTGTAGCTGGACTCATCATTGTTTGTGATGCATCCCACCACCGCTGTGTCATCTGCAAACTTTACAATGTGACAGCCTGGATGGGTAGCTGCACAATCATACATGAGCAGAGTAAACAGGAGGGGGCTCAACACACAGCCCTGAGGGGAGCCAGTGCTGAGGGTTATGGTGGAAGAGGAGAAGCTGTGGATCCTCACTGACTGCAGTCTGTTTGTTAAGAAGTCTAGGACCCAGCTGCAAATAGAGGGACTTAATCCTAGTGTGAGTAGTTTGTCCATCAGGGTCTGGGGGATCATGGTATTGAAGGCAGATGTGAAGTCTATAAAGAGCATGAGAGTCCTTCTGCTCCAGGTGGGTGAGAGCAGTGTGGACCATAGAGGCGATGGCATCCTCTGTCGATCGATCCTTGCGGTATGCATACTGGTGAGGGTCCTTGCTGATGTTGATGGTTGTTTTGATGTGGGTCATGACCAGTTTTTCTAAGCCTTTAGCGACTATCGGGGTTAGGGCTACTGGCCGGTAGTCATTCAGACCAGTCACTGTAGAGCTCTTTGGGACTGGGATGATGGTGGCAGTCTTCAGGCAGGTGGGAACTGTTGCCAGGGTAAGTGAGGAGTTAAAGATGTCTGCTAGCACCTCACAGAGCTGATCAGCACAGTATTTCAGCACCTACACTGGGATGTTGTCTGGGCTGGTTGCCTTGTGAGGGTTAATCCTCCTGAAAGTATTCTTTCCTTCTGCTGAGGTCACGCTGAGGAACTCCTCTTCCGGTGGTGATGTGAATCTGGTGCTGGGTGGTCTGTTCGGGTCTTCAAAGCGTATGTAGAACCTGTTGAAGGCATCAGGCAGTGATGGGTCTCTAGGGCGTTGTAAACCTCTGCCTTTGTAATCTGTTATACACTTAATGCCGCTCCACATGCTCCGAGGGTCTTAAAAAGCTTGTCTATGTGCATAAAATTGACAAATTTTATATTTTTCCCTCTTTTTTAATATGAATCATTTCCATTGGTTTAGACAAAACAGTTCATTCATGATGTAAATAATCAAATATCAGCAATGACAACATAAGTAATGATCATAACTAGACAGACCCTGAGATCACCATATTGGTAAACTGATTATTTTCCCCTGTGCTTTGCAGTTTCCTAATATTTTTGTAGTTGGGCTCATTTTGTGCTAGTTATGAAAATAAAAGTTATAGCTTTAGTGGCAATTAGTGTTTTTTTTTAAATCATGGTTTAGTAAGTTTCTTTCGGCTGCTCCCTCCTTTTAAATCTTTTAAAATTTTGATGTTTTATATTTAAGAACATTCAAAGTTAAATTAATAAAATGCTCAAGTTGATTTTTTTTTTTGATTTGAAGCTCTCGACCTTGACCTCTCTAAGTGGCTTTAAGAATCTGTTGGACTCCTGGCAGGGACCAATGCAGACATGTTCCTGTTTTTAGTTTTATACATTTGTCTTGGAATCTAGCAGTTTTTTTGGTTTTGTTACCTTTTTCCTTTTAGCCATCCTATTTGTTAAAAAAAAAAAAAAAAAAAAAAAAAAAACTGTAGTATGAGTTTTTATAACTGCTTATTGTTGTTGCTGTTGTCCATTGTTGTCATCTTTCTTTGTTGAAATCAGGTCTCTCTTGTAAATGAGTCCTCGAGGCTCAATGGGATTTACCTGTATAAATAAAGGTTGATTGATTGATTGATAAAATGCTCAAGTATTTCTGTACTTGAGTTTGAGAAAAGTCTGACTTTTCATCTGTGGTCCTGCAACTCAACTACTCAACTCATTTAACTAAATAACTTAATCATAATTCAATTACATCAATCTAAATGTTACTCACTATCTGTGTAGTTTATGTTACTTATGTACTATATATATATATATATATATATATATATATATATATATATCATGTACATTTAAGCAATACAGTATAAGAAATACTTATTTATACTAATTAATCCTACTTGCACTGTTATATATTACCATTTTGATGTTTACTATATTTATTTTGGACCGTATGAATATAATATTTCTTTTTCACTTTTGGTACTTTATTTTGTACTTTTATTGCATGTTTTAGTATTTCTTGTTTATTTAGTGATTCAAAGTAGTTTCTTCTCATCCTGAACATTTCATTGCATTTGCATTGCAAAAGGATTTACCTTTGAATTTTTTTATGGATCTACCTGTAACCATGTCGTCTCCCATGACCCCCCCACCCCCCGCCCAAGTTGTCCATTGTCATTTATTAACATTTTGTGTCCGCAATTGTAGTCAATAAGGTTTATGTGTCTTTTAATATTATTTCTCACTGCTGACAATTGATTACAAGAACAGCATCATCAAAGCTCTACAAATCTCATGAGATGTTTTAAATAGCAATAAATTTATTATTCAACAGCAAACACGCTGAAATTACCGTAGTTAGATGTTGAAAAATAAATGAAAGAGTAAAAACTACCCGAAGCTTGCTCACGAGCTCCAAAGCTATAAACACTAGTTACACTACTATTCTCTGAATCCACACAACTATCGTCTGGCCTCAGCAGCTCATACATCATGCCAAACATAATCACAGAAAAATCCGAACAACAGATTTCGTAATAATAAAAACTCCAGAGTTTCAGTTTAAACATGTGAAAATAATGCACTTCATTAGAGCCTACACAGTAATAAACAGCTGCACAACATCTGCTCATGACTTGCATAAAACACCATATTATTGAAAACGCACAGAGAGAAAATCTCAGCCCTAACAGGGTTTTATTTTAATCTCCTTTTATAATTTAGCTACAAGATGTGTTAAAATGAGTTCATTTATGGAGCTACAGAAGCTTCTTTTCAACTTTCCAGTGGAGAATCGTTCAGGAGCTCATGTTGTCCATGTCCCTGCAGGGTGACGGGAGGAGAGCTGTTTGAGGACATCGTAGCCAGGGAGTACTACAGCGAGGCTGATGCCAGGTAACACAGCCGTGTCAACACACACACATGAAACACACACTGCTGAGCACTGCAGCCATCGTACATCTCTGTCCACGACTGGAGCGAACTTTGTGTGTGTTTCACATATGGCCGTCTCAGAGGGACGCTCCAGCTGCCTTCTCTCTGAGGGACCTCATGGAGTTATTTATACAGATGATTAATGACGTAAAGCCTGCCGTATAAATCACACACAGCCTACCATACTGTGCCAGCTTTGTGCGGAAATATGGCCTCCCCAGAGAAAGACGGCAAGAGAGGGTTGCTGTTTTGTTTGCGTGGCCTCAATGTTGTTCAGCTTTGGTGCTGCTGTGTAGTTTATGACACTAAATCTGGTGAAAAACGTCTCGTGTCATGTGACGTCATCATCATCCCGCAAGACAACAACATGACACACATGAGGTCTTATGGGAAGGTGTGCGATGTACGCGGTGAAACGTTGCTCGTTCTCTCCCCTTTTTATCTTTTCCCCCTCACCTCCTCCTGTTATTCACCTTTCCGCCTTTTGCTTCTTTCTCTGTCCTTCTGCCATCAGCCACTGCATACAGCAGATCCTGGAGAGTGTCCATCACTGCCATGTCAACGGCATTGTTCACAGAGACTTGAAGGTTTGTACGACCACAGACGCAGATGAAACTCACCGCGTAAGACATGAAGGCAATAATTAAACCGACTTACATTCTGTACGTTGTCACCTTCTGCTCCTTCTGAAACGATGGTTTGAACTTTGGGTGGGTTTCTGTGGAGTAGTCAGTATCTTACCTGCAGTGGGCAGCAATCAGTCCGGTCTCAGTGTGAAAAATCAGGGAGGATTCTCTCATCGGAGTCAAGCCAATGGCTAGTCAAACTTAACGTGAATGTACGTTTTTAACAATCTAAAACAACCAAAACTTTACAAAAAATCAAACAAATGATGAGTTGTAGTTATTTAAATCACATTACTTTTTGTCAAATTAACACATTTTCTTCTACAACGTGTTTTAACAACAGACTGCGACCCCTGTTGCAACACATTATTTAGCGTAAATACCTACAGATATCTGCATATAACCCTGCTACCACAAAGTGAAGCAAATTTTGTTGTGGTAGTAGCCAGGGCTTAATTTGATTGATGCCGGAACAGCGGGTCGGGGGTGGGGGTGTCGGGGTGTCGGGGTGTCGGGGTCCATGTGTCCTCTCTCAGAAAATTTTGAACAACAGAGATGCCATTTCCTGCATTTTGGTGTATTTTAACAGGTTGTTATACATCAACATTTACCTACATTTGTAAACACTTAATAAAATTACTATTTTGGAGAAGAACAGCAGGTTGTGTGTGAATGAGCAGCTCTGATTCTGTCAGGTGTCACAAACCCCCTCCTCCCTCCCCCCACTCCACGTTTCTGAGCTGAACTCTTCTCCGCTCCTGCTCCAGTCTCGTGGCACCGATTGAAGCACCTGAAGGCTTCAGTTTTCTGTTGTCCAACTAAGGACAATCAATTAATTAATCCATCCATCCATCCATCCATCCATCCATCCATCCATCCATCCTTCCTTCCGTCCGTCCATCCATCCATCCATCCATCCATCCATCCATCCATCCTTCCTTCCGTCCGTCCGTCCGTCCGTCCGTCCGTCCGTCCGTCCGTCCGTCCGTCCGTCCGTCCATCCATCCATCCATCCATCCATCCATCCTTCCTTCCATCCATCCATCCATCCATCCATCCATCCATCCATCCATCCATTTTTTATTAAAGTAAATTGGACAGTCTTTTTGACATTTTGATCGCTGTTGTTATTTTGCCAAATTAGCGCCGTTGTTTTGAAACGTGACGTATAATGTGAATAACACATGAAACATTTCTCTCTTTGTATTTTTAATTAATTTTTTACAGTAAGCTTTTTTATTTGTTATGTCTGAAAATGTAGCAGGAGTTCAGACACCTGCTGATGTGTGCGCACGCTGGGTAGAGATTGGAGACGTTTCTGTGCATAACGTGCACTGTTCGCAGGGAATTGATTTATTCTGTGGAACAAATGATCATTTCTGTTTCGGGGTCTGCGAGGAGGAGAGAGGGGGTGTTTTTCAGTATGCAGCCCCGCTGAGGAGGGCCAGTATTTGGAGAGGAGGAGGAGACAAGGACTCCGCGCAGCACCTCTGTGCGTAAATGTGACCTTCTGATCCGTCCTATATTGTAACTTTTAAATAAACAATCTATGCAGCATGGATTGTTAATTTAAAATGTTGCAATATTCAAATTTAAATTGTTTATTTAAGGAGGGACATTGGGAGTAACAGGTGAGGAGTGTGATTACAGCCTGGCACATGTCATGACAAAGTTTACGGAACTTGAACTGAACTTGAACTACTGTCTCCCTACTTTGCGGTTCTCACTTATCACGGGTGGGCGTGGCCCCAACACCCGTGATAAACGAGGGACCACTGTACATGACACTGGCATCAATAATATCATTATTTGGACTGAGTTGCATAATCCTATATATGTACCACATATGAAAGTGACCTGGGTCTGAACTGAAAACAAAAAGAGTTGTAACGTCAGTGTAAAATACATAAATAAATCAGATCTGAACCACTTTTACCTGCAGTGTGAACATAAGTTATGAGACTCTCTCTGATTCTCCAAGCTGAGATCCCTCTGACGGCTTTGTGCCACATGTAAAATACTGACTACTGACAAGAACTCCACAAGACCACACCTAAATGGGCTTTTAAATGATGCTTCTCAGACTTCTATGTTCTCCTTGTGTTTGCTCTTATACGTTAAATCATAGTTATGTTAGATTGTCGAGATGGTTTTCTTGGCTCACTTTTTTCCTGCTAATGTCAAGAACAAGTATCTTCTTGTAACGCCGCCCTCATGTTGCAGTGAGCGTGGCAGTGTTTGGTTGAATATTTGTGTAGTTTCTGAAACAGAAAAAAGTTTTAAGTATCAGAAGCTCATAAGAGCTGTAAATAATGGGAGAAGCTCAAATTGCTTGAACTTGCTATGGTCAAGATGCCTTTTGTTGGAATGATAAGTCTTTACAGTGTGTGTCATAGGATTTTTGTATTGTGATGTGATTTTATTATGTTCCTGCTGTCTGTGATTGTCTGTGCCCGTCGAGCTGTAGGTCTGCCGTGAACTGCTTGCAGGCTGTCTGTGCTCCGAGTGTCTAAATGTTAGGAAATGTATTATTCATCAGAGCACACTGTCTCTGTGGCCCTGGGTTAGCAAAGACCTTTCTGCAGCTGTGTCGGAGTGACTGTTTCAGAAAGTGTGTGCGCTGATCTGCATGCTGTGGGCTCACAAATATCTGTGATTGTTCTAGACTGTGTTAGTGTCCAGTGTACACACATCTGACTGTGAGTCACTCACACCTTCCTCCTGTATCTTACCCACCTCTGTGTGTCCTTTGCTCCCACTCATGGATTTTACCAGTAGATGGGTTTCGCTGTGGACAAGCAACGTTGTATCACTTCCTCCTAATCCATGAGGCTGAGAGAGCAAGTCCATAGTTGGACCATTCGAAATGTCCGTGGTCACCTTGAGAGTTGGTCCCGTGCACATGTTTGTGTCTGTCCTTCGTGTGGCAGAAAGGGCGTTGCCTCAGACACTGATTTAAGAGCAGTTTAGTGTCCCTGTTGGATTTGATGAAAGTGTGGTTTGGCTAATCTGATTTTAGATCTGTGTCTGTGGGCAGCATGGTCCCTGAGCGTGTGACCTCTCACCTCTAACCTGTTTGACTCCGTCCCCCCCAGCCTGAGAACCTTCTATTGGCCAGTAAGCTGAAGGGGGCGGCGGTCAAGTTGGCTGACTTTGGGCTAGCTATCGAGGTACAGGGGGACCAACAGGCATGGTTTGGTGAGTATTCATCCACCCTTTTCTTTGGTCGTAGTCAGTCAAAACGTGGATCTATCAACTTTTCATTAGTTGTGATTGTTGGAGAGAGAGAGAACTGCACAGGTGCAGCTTGGGTTCTCTCTTTTAAACTCAGCTGGTTAGTAAAAACACATAAACTTCCAGGTGATAACCAGCTGCCAACTAGACTGGCTTAATCTCAAGTCCGTCTGTATAATGTCAAAGACATTACAGTCATAGTTCAGGTTTGGTGAAATGAGCGTTTGTGGAAAGGTTTGGAAAAATCAATATCTTACCTGTCTTAGATAACTCTCTTACCAACCTCAGCTTGAGAAATAGAGTTAAACTTTGTCCTGATTGACAAGCCATTGTCCAGTTGGAACTGGATCAAGACCAAAGTGCACAAATGTCACCCAACTCCATTCTTAAAGGTTTCATAGCAGTTTATAATCCTTTACATTGTTATTTCATGTTACACAGTTTTTACATAGTATTTCAGTGTTTTTGATCAGCTGAAATGGCTGAAGTAGCTACATGTAGCACTTCCAGTGCAGCCCAGGGCACTTCCTGCAGGAACATCATGTATTAAATAACATTTGCCTGAACCACGGTGAAAGATTTGGGATAGAAGTTATTTTAAGATGGCAGCAGTCTACTTTAAACGTGGCCCCTGATGGACTGGCCCTTAGTTGTTCACTCAGATCAGAATTAAACTCTGAGGAAATTCAAAGAGCTGTCTACACCAGATACTGATTGTGATCTTTCCACAGATCCCACCTTCAGAACAGCTGAGTAAGTGTTAAAAAAATAAATAAATTGTAAAGTGCTCTCTGGACAGGGCACCATTTTAATTTTACTTGTAGAGACAGAAACTGTCTTGGGCTAAGAGATCCATTTTATTAGGACCTCTGTCGTATGCAGAGACCATTTGTTAATGCAAGGATAGTGGAGTAAAGATTTGTGCAAAGTTTTCTCTCCAGAAAAACGCGTTATATTTAAACATTTAAATACAAACTTGCAGTTGTTAAAAAATACGTTTGACTTGAAGATGACAAGTTCTTATGTTTTGTTGTAACAGGAAACTGATGCTATCAAAAGTAAATTTGAATCATTTTTTAAACATGCCTTTTTATATTTTTTCATTTTTTATTGGCAGCGTTACAACACAAAATTGCCTTAGCAACATAAACAGTCTAATGTGTCCAACAATGCACTCAGACTAAAGTTTTCCCAGAACTAGTTCACATAAACAGGTCCTCTCCACATCCAAGTGATCATCCTCCAGCCAAGAAAAGCTTCTTCCAAAGCACAAATTAAACCACAGATGTTTTTATAAGAGTCTGTTTCTAAACTAAACAATTGGACAAATCATTGTCATTAATGTTCTCGCAACAGTGAGCCAAGACACCAAATGTCCCAGTCCCACCTCCACATGTCCTCTCTCTCCATCCTCCTCCTCCAGGTTTTGCCGGCACCCCAGGCTACTTGTCTCCAGAAGTTCTGAGGAAAGATCCTTATGGGAAACCAGTGGATATGTGGGCCTGTGGTAAATACTCTTCATACTGCGTCACTTTGTAAACAACTGTTTACATAGATTTGTTGATGGGCTACAGATCTGAATTCATGGCCTCTTAATTTGGAGCCAAAGGGGTTAATAAAAAGTAAAATGATGTACATTTTTGTTGTTAATACAAGTTTTGTAAGTGTTAAGGGGCTACATGTGGCTTCTGTCACATGTTACTTTTTATTACACAGTACGCCTGCACAGTGCTATAATCTTTGTCCATCCATTTATCTGTAAAGATTTCTTGCTCTTCTATAACTTCTGATCTGCTCAAGATAATTTAATGAAACTTCATACTCTTACAACTTCATATTGTCACTAGACGGAGTGTTGCACTTTTCATCGACCCAGTTTGGCAAGGTCAAATGTTATCCAAGTTTTTTTTATGTTCAGGCCATTACGATACTATAGATTGTTGTTTATTGTTGGGTGTATAATGCGCCGTATGTGGTACTTTTGTTTAGGTGTGATTTTGTACATCCTCCTGGTGGGCTACCCTCCCTTCTGGGATGAGGATCAGCACCGACTTTACCAACAAATCAAGGCTGGAGCTTACGACGTGAGTGTGTGCACACCCCCCCCCCCCCCACACACACACACACATAAACTATGAAAGATTTTAACTTCAGTTCAAGTTCTTGGTGTCCTAACTGTCTGCTGCAGTTTTACTGTTTGTTGTTCATGATCCAAAATAGTTGAGTTTATGACCCGGGACGTTCAAGGCAAAGCTACTTGAGCTCATGAATTAACACCCCCCCCCACACACACACACACACACGCACACACACACATCAGTCATTTAAAAACCTTAAAGTGATGGTTTACATCTTTCAAAATGAGGTTGAGGAAAGCCACTGAAAAAAAGAACATCTTACCTGTTGTAGATATCTCTGTGAATGACCTCGGTTAAGAAAAACAGACATTGGTTCTGGCCGGACAGACAAACTGATGATTGTAACCCAAAAGTGGATTGCTGCTGTCTTGAGGCAGCACCAGTCTCCAAATATTTCAGAACAGTTCGCTTGAATACTTTCATGCAAACCTTTACACCACTGTCAGTTTTGTTTTACTTGGTTATTTATAAAGAACTGTTCTTTTTATTTTTTCCAAAGACGCATGGCGGCCACAGCAGAGACTTGTAGCACTTCCTGTGCTGCCTGGGTCTCTTTCATTTTCACTGAAATATTATGTTTTTGCTGGAATACCCGGGTAATGCAACACTGGCAGCAGTGTTAAAGTTGATAAAATAGTGTTTGCATTTTATTTTATATAAGGTGACAACAACACGCTTCATTCTTGGCCCAACATCAGTCAAGCTTGTCAGTCTGGTCAGAATTAACTGTTGCTCTCCAAAATGAAGTTATTTAAAGAGTTATCTACAACAGGTAAGATATTAACTGTTCATAAAATGTACAAAAAAAATAGCTGAACACTTAAAAAGGGGTCTTTTGTTTACCACCTGTTGTAGATTCAGACATTTAGTAAAAGCTCTCATATGTTTTCTTAAAATATTGAAATAGTCAAATATCGTCAATAAAAATGATGATTTCAAACATATTTGATTTACCGTTTCTTTGTTCTTGCTGCTTTGTCTTTGCAGTAAAACAAGTGCAGAGTGTTTTATTTTCTCCTGTGTCTGCAGTGACTGCTTTGAATGCACTTTTTCATTTATTTATTTCTTTATTTGTGACAGTTTCCGTCCCCGGAGTGGGACACAGTAACTCCAGAGGCCAAAGATCTGATTAACAAGATGCTAACCATCAACCCCAGTAAACGCATCACGGCGGCCGAAGCTCTCAAACACCCCTGGATCTGCGTACGTCACAGCCTCACATGCACAAAGGAGTACAGATCTACACTGCTTATGATTTAGTGCCACTCATGCAGAAATCCTCATTTGTTTGAACGTTTACAATCACGTAACGCCCCACAGCTGTGTTCTCGTCCTCTTTCTCTTCTGACCCTCGAAATCTCTCCTCTTCGTTCTGCAGCAACGCTCCACTGTCGCTTCCATGATGCACCGGCAGGAGACTGTGGAGTGCCTGAAGAAGTTTAATGCCAGGAGGAAGCTCAAGGTGAAACTTCAGACGCTTCTATTTATGCCTGATCATCCATCCAGCCACGTCTCCTCGCCCTCTCAGAAGACCTTTCAGTACAACTGAAAAATGATGAGCTGTTCTCTAAAACCTGTACAGTCCTCTGCTGCAAAGCTTTTCTTTTCTTGCTGCAGCCATTTAATCAATCTTCCCCACTATCTTCTCCTTCTCTGTCCATCGTCGTGTCCTCCTTCTTTCCTTCTCTGTCACTGCAGGGAGCAATACTGACCACTTTGCTGGTCACAAGAAACTTCTCAGGTATGTTGTTCTCAGCCCAGTTGTTCAAGAGCTAATTTCAAAAGCAAATCTTAGAAACATTCGCTGTAGGAAGGCTGGTAGATGGAAATGGTTTATTTTTAGCTTTTTATAATGAAGGTAGTTCAGGAATATTCCCCAATGGAGAATGTCTCTCCTGGAACCAGAACACTGCAGAATTAAGGCACAAAATCTATGACTTTATAAACCAGATGATCGTTTTCAGCTCACAGAAGCTGTTGGTCAACGGAGTCATCTCCCTTTATCTCTGGCTTCGTACTCAAACTCTAGTTTATCTTACCAGCTTGCATGTTTTTTCTTTGAGCTGTCTCTGATTTTCTCGGCCCACTTCCACTCTTCACTCTACAGTGAAATGCATCAGCGCATTAGTGCCTCTTTTTATTCATCACTTTCTTTCCTTTTTCATTTTTCTTTTTGTGTTTGGATTGGGGTTTCCATTTGAGGTAAGATTTTTGGAACGGCAAGGAAATGTGTGAGGTTGAGCTCAATCAGTAACCTGTGACCTTAAGTATCCTGATGCATGCTCAATAATCCAGGTAGAAAAATCTAAAAAAGTTAAATCTGGTCCTCTGGACAGTCAAAAAAACAAAACAAAGCAAATCAACAAAAAATGTAGAAACGTTTCGTCTCTCATCCGAGAGACTTCCTCAGTCTGAGGAGATGTATTCAGCTCAGTCTCTTAAATAGCACCGTCTCAGGGTGGATCAACCAGTTTTGCTGCTGACAACCAAAACCAGCTGATCACATGCTCAAGAAGGAGCATTTAAGGTTTTAAGGTTTTCCTAATTGTCTAAAGGCCCAATAAGCGCGCATGAAGACATGTCAGTATTGAACCTTGCACTTATTGAGGTCGAGGAAATATTTAGGCCAGCATATGGCATGAATTCTGACATGCAAGCTGCTGCTATATTCTGCCATATTCACCGTATACCAGTATGAAGAAAACAAGTCTGCACACTCCTGTTAAAATGCCAGGGTTTGTGTTAACAAAATGAAACAGGAAATGATTTCTAAACTTTTCCCACTTTTTTTGTGGCACATATTTTGTTCAATACAACTGAGAAAACTGCACAAACAAAATGATGGTCAAGCTGGTTACAAGTGTGCACAAAATGGCAAATCTTAAAAGTTGGGGAAAAAAGCAACTCTATTCTAGAACAGAAGAAACTCAGCTTCCTATCTGGGGAGCTTTGTTCATTCAGAACTGGAGCACGTGCAGTTCTTTGATCCAACACCTCCTGGTTTAATTTAAGCTGCCAGTGTTTCTGGGAGGGAGTCTGTCAGAAGGCCACACCTTTACTTGGTAATGTTTTCTCACGCTATCTTTCTAAAAAGTGCTAAAAAAACGGTCAAACTCTGAGACTCTGGCTCAGACTGCACTTTTCTTCAGGTGAAGCCACGTTTTTTCTTGATTTGGATGAAAGCTCTCGGTTGTTGCTGATTTGAAAAAAAGAAAAGAAAAAACAAATTCCTCTTCACACCGAGCTTTCTGTCAGGTGTTTGAGGGGTTTGGCCAAAGTAAACAGATTTCAAACTGTTCTTAACTCGTACACGTTGTCCCGGTTGAAGAAAAGCAACCCTGAAGCATAATACTTTCACTGCCATGTTTTACTGTAGGTAAGGCATTCCCTTGGGAATCTACAGTCTTGTTCGGCACCAAACTTTCTTTTTCTCTTCTTTCGGCTGCTCCCTTCTTCACGGGTCAGCACAGTGAATTACCTCACATGAAGACTTGGTGATTGTTTTTCTGCCGGATGTCCTTCCTGACGCATCTACAGACCACTGAGCTACCACAGCCCTCTGTGTGGAGCAGAGAGCTTCCATATAGGGTGCCCAGGGGAGCAGATGGTGGGGGTTAAGAGCCTTGCTCAAGGGCCCAGAGTGGGGCCAACGAGGGTGGAAGCAGGTGTGGGTGTTTCACCTTTCCCACCCACATTTTGATGTTGTCAGGGGGTCGAACTGGCGATCTTCTGATCACAGATTCTCCTTCTCTCCACCACCAACCACATCTTGTAGAATCAGGGCCAAACTTTCAGCTTTAGTTCCATCTGGCCATAATGTATTTTCCCACATGTTTTCAGAAACAAAGCTTTAA